TGATACCAGGTTTTGATTGGAAAATAATGTAACTTACACTTGAAGACAGTTTAAAAAAGAAAAGGGCTGTTAAAACTGAATTAATCTCCAGTAAGTGAAGCACTGTGTACCTTCTGCTAATAAATAAACTGAGATAGAGAGGAAAGATAACAAAGTCTTATAAAAAGCAGTGCAATTGGTAGATGGGTTTTTCAGATGCACTAACTGAGATGACAAACAACCATAGTGATTTTTTTTTTTGTCCACAGTTAAAGAGCACATCCTTGTTGAGCTTTTATAAGAAGACATGTCTAGGTCGTTGTCAATTTAAGTGAAGTTAGTTGACCATTTAATAATTGAAAATACTGCATAATGTAATCACTTACCAGATGGCATTAAAACATAATATGTGTTTGTTTTTTTATCCATAGGGTATTCCAGAGAAACCACACAATGACTAAATCTTTGAAGAAGAGAGCACGGTGCCAGCGTGAAAGCAACATTACAAAGATGTGTTCCTGTTTAAAACTGAAGATTATTTAGAAAAAATAATCTCTTTATGGGCTCACTGCACAAATGACTTGTGGAGAAAAAAATATTAATCCACTCTTAGAATAGCCAAGTGAAATTAACTGCTTATCTTGAAATCTTACCCTGATTTACCACGTAAGCATTTGCATATGGCTGTTCTCTGGAAGAGTTTAACACCAAGTTGCATACAACTGTTCGGGCTAAGTGGCAGTTTTCCAAGTATTAGATTCCAATGTAAGTTATTGAATCAGCTGCCGTATTTTAAAGCCTTGAAACTGAAATTTAATTACAAGCTCTTGTATCAGTGCCCAAAGGAAGTAGATCGATGGTGCTTAACAATGATGAAGTATGGTTTAATAGGAATAGTATTTATCCAAATCTTTAAAAAATAGGGTTGTTTAAAAATAAGAGTGATCAAAACAGATTAAAGGCACTGCACTAATGCTTTTAGGAGTCTTATGAAGGAATCATGCCCTTACTTGTAATGCTGCATTAAGTTTCTGTTTTTGACAGTGGAGAGGGTTGGAGGGATGAAAGGTTGGAAGTCTTAGTTTGGAATTTCTAAATTACTTCAGTACGATGGGTGAACACAGAAGACAATCTTGTTCAAACGTGAACTTTTATCGGGAGATTCCGACTGGAAATTTCATTATTTCTGAAGCTTGCAGTTAGATTTGCAAGAATCAAGTTCTGGCCTTTATTCAGTAAGATATCTAAGTGTGTTTGAGTACTCCTGCTTAATATTAGACACATACTTCAGTATCTCACCAAAGGAGGTCTTGGGTATCTCAAATGTCTGGTGTCACTGAAAAAACATGCATTGCATGTCATTGTGTGACCCCCAACTGTTCGATTTGCCATTTCCTCCTAGAGCTGTCCTTGATCTTCAGTCTGAGTCAGGGTTTTGACTGAAACGATTGGAAACAGAATTGGGCCTAAAATGTGATTTAAACTGTATGTGAAAAATAGCAAACAGCTTGTTTTCTCAGTTCAGTTTCTGAAAGAGATCACTACTTGTTTTTATACAACCCTATAGAACTTGCAATCTGTGATTGCCTTCTTAAAAACAAAAAGTGCTTATGTCACTACATTAAACATTTGGTGTTTCTTAATACATAGTTCTGGTGAGCACAACGTATTCATTTGATAGCTTAGACCACAGGAGACCTAAGTAGCAAGTATTAGGTCTTAAAAGTTGAAGTGCAATGTACAGTAAGTCTGAGCCTCATGTTCTCTTCAATATCGATCATTTCTTATGAGAGATTAAAGAGAAAAGGGTTCTGAGTTCATTTCAATGCTGCATGGAGTCAAATGGAGCAATAATTTATTTAACTAGTAAAGCTAGTTTTGTTGTATCTTACATTGAACCCAAATTTATAGAAATACTCCAATTTTGTGTTTATGTTGTACTGGTAAACTTTTATGGATTTGCCTTTTTGTATTATGCTTTTTTTTTTTTTTGTGTTCTTTTCCAATCTTACATGGCTTCAGTTATAGTTAGAGGCATCAGTTAAAGACTGAACCATCAAAACAGATGTCAAGGCCAGATAGCTGCTCTGGCTGTTTTCACTCTTCTAAGGGAATGCTTGCAGGAAAAATTTAGCACAAACTCTATACTACAGAGCATACCCTAATTCTAATCTTGCTTTGGTGTAAATCAAGAGTAATTGAGTTGGTCTAAGATCCTTCCTCAAATGTTCAAAACATAAATCATCAAATTTTATAGAAGTACCTGAAGAAATTAGGTCCCCAGATCAGGACAGGTTCAGCTCAACTGTTTAAGAAGTATGCTACCTGCTGGGGAGACAGTTTTGTAACCACCTTTAAACCAATCTCAAAATGTTATAAAACCAGATGTAAGTAAAGATGACAGTGATCTCTATGGATATTTGATTAATAGAGAAGTATTTAAGATTTATTTCTAAAAACTGAAACTAAATCTGTGTATGGTCGAAATAATGCAGCCAAAAATGTAAGTCAAAAGTTCATTTTTTGCCAACACTTCTGAGTATCTTAACCAAAGTGATTTAAGTTTGGAAGAGGTGGGGAGGGGAGTGAAGAAAACTTGCACTATTCTGAATTTGAACACTTATATTCTCATTCTTACTGATAAGTTTTCAGCGGTGTGTTTGGTTTTACACTTTTTTTACTATTAAAGTTTTACGATCAAGTCATGTTTGCCTTGGATTCTCTGTGCTCACATTATGCAGGAATCTTTCTTGAAAAGGACAGTTGTTATGGTTGCATAACAAATATTCAGTCATGCATATGCAGTGATTTAAAAAAAAAAAAAGAATCCTAAACTGAACTTGCCAAGATTAACTTCAGCCTGGGTTGTACAGTTGAGAAGAAAAACAGTCTTGCTATTGTACCAGGAAAGCAGCATAAGTGTGTTATGGTTATGTGACTTAAAGTACAGAATATTACAACCATCGTCTTCCAAAATGCTGAAATTCATAATCTGAAACAAAATATAGAGGGGGCAGGATAAACATGCACATTCCTTTTGTGGTTTGGTTATCTGCAGCAGTGGTTACTAAAATGTGAGTGCAAGCTAAGAATGAGTAAACACATCTGAAAAGGCTAGGAAATTCTAACAGCAGCTTCCAAATTTAGACCAAAACTCTTCAATTTTGCTGCACTTAAGTGTCTATTTTGGGCTTCAAGAAGTTGCTGCATTTTCAGTGGAAACAGTAGAATGGCTTTTTTGATATATTTTCTGCTGGTTTAGCTCATTAAGAGCTTCTTAACTATTTTAGCTTAAGTGGGCTGCATTTGCTTAACTTCAATTCCTGCTCTGTAGCAGCTGAGGAGCTAACAGCTCCAAACCTGAGGATGGCCCACATTCCCCGGGTACATTGCTTCCCTGAAACTCCACTCAAATTTTGTCAAAAGGAATTCAATATATATTTATTAAAAAATGAATGAATTGTGGGATACAGCCTGGTCTCGGAGAACTGGGGCATGATGGTGTTCCTTTTGAGACAGGAACGGGTGTACAAAGTTTCTAAAGGGAAAAAAGCAAAACGTTCTTCCCAGCAACAGGGATGATTTGACATGTGCATAGTCCTGCAGCTCCATTTGGTGGGTTGTGCAGCCTCTGGTTTTGAGCGTGGGGATTTGCAGGTGCTAAATTAGCCACAGGAGGGCCCATGGTCTGCTCTCTGATTGCAGCAGGAACATATTGAGATGAATAATGAAATTAAGTCTCAATTGCCTTACTGTGCATCAGAGTAACTTCAAAATTCATGAGAACAAAGCATTACATGCTGGACTAATTGAACAAAGCATATATGCAAGAGCATATTGAGGGCCCTATCTTGGAAACCAGTGAGGGGTGTGGGTGATTGGGTTCTTCCAGCTAAAAGGTCAAGAAAGGTACCCATATGTGGTGGTGATTTCTCTGGGCAGTGGAATACCACATGAGTTGGCAGTACCTAGTTTGGAATCATCTCCCTGCATTTAAGTCCTTCCCTTGTGCAGTGATAACGTTCTGTCTTCATGGGCTGCAAATGGGGACAGGTGAATTGCATTTGCAATAAAGCCACAGTCCTCATGCCTGCCTGTGTGATAACAAAGTCTGTGGATTGTGATGATGCTTCTGGCCTGCTCTGGTTAACTTTCAAACACAGAGTTCAAAGCACATATGATGATTTCTATACATAATACATTAGTGCCCAAAGACTCATAAAGGGTCAGAGCTTCACTGAGTTTTACTCAGTGAATTTTTTTTCTCCATCTGCCAATCACATTTTCTCTATTCCATTAAGTCTTGTTTGTGTATAAAGTAGCTTGAGTGCTATTACATTGTTTTATTAAATATCAGAGAAGTGCTATAGACATTACATAAACTTGGTGTGTTTCTTAAGAATTAACACATCAGCTACAAATCAGCAGAAATTAAACACAGCTACATCATTTTCTCCCAGCTCAGTAGCTGGTATCTGCCTCCCTGTGGCAGCCGGGCAAATATCCCTTTTGCCAACCTGCCATGGTTTGGGGCTGGGATGGGGAGGACAACTCCTGTGGCTGCTCCAGGGGTGCTCCAAGCTTCCTCCTCCCCAAAGCAATAGATGTTGAGCATTGTTTTTGTTGATTATTTGGTTTCTAATTAGTCAAAAGCAGCCAAAAGTAGCTCAAACAGCAAGATTATTCCAATGAGAACTGCAATAGTCACTGAATGAATTACAGCTGGCCCATATTTTTCTGGGTGGACAGAGGAGAGGAAAGGGTTTTTTTCACCCTTTCTAGGGTTTCTCACCAGTTAGAAGGGCACATGTCCCTACATTGTGGAATCTGGCCACTGATGGCATGGGCCAACTCCTGAAGATGGGGTTGAATATGAGTTAGCACCATCACAGCAGCTGACAGTATGGCATAAGCAAAGGTGAACTGACGTCACAGAGGACACTTTTATTCACCCTGGATATTCTTAGCCATGTTAGAAAGCCTTGAGGGCCATATTCTAGTAGTATCAAGCTGAACTAGCTTTAGTTTAAAATGCAAAAGTCCTGCTGAAAGCTGTGTATGTCTCTTACCTGCATATGAATATACAGGAAGTTCATCCTTTTCAAGGTATCTTAAAGTAGATGCCCCAAAATTAAAATAAGGTAATCTGGACTCACAAGAGAGTCAAGGTCCCATCCACAAAGGCTCGCTGAGATGCTTCTGGAGTAATGAAAGTTGTTCACATGTGACCACAGAATTCCTCAAGACAGAAGGTCTGGTGGCTGTTTTGGCTGCATTTTGAATTGCATGATACTGGAGGGATCATAGAATCATCAAATGGTTTGGGTTGGGACCTTAAAGACCATCTAGTTTCAACCCCTTGCCATGGGCAGGGACACCTTCCACTAGACCAGGTTGCTCAAAGCCCCTTCCAGCCTGCCCTTGAATTCTTACAGGGATCAGACAGCCACAACCTCTCTGGGCAATGTGTTCCAATGCCTCACCACCCTCACAGGGATGAATTTTTTCCTAACATCCAATCTAAATCTCTCCTTTTTTAGTTTTAGAGGTGTAAGAAAGCTTCAGATCATGTGACTCAGGACAGCCACAGACTTTATCATGCAATACAGAAAGGCCCACAGCCAACTGGGAGCATGCCCAGCATCACCTGCAGTACTGAAGAATTGCTGGGCCATGCATGATTGAACAAGAGGGTTGTGATCCCTTCAGGGGTGGAGATGTCTAAACTTTTCACTTGGACATGAAGGACATGTATGTTATAAATAGAGGTCATTTAGCAGCAAGAGGGGGTGAGATGACAGAGAGATCAGTGAGGTTCCGGTTTTTCTGGAAGTGTCAGAGTGTTCCTCAGCTTGAATCCATTGGTCTGGCCCATATGTGGGGTTTTGTGGGTTCATGTAGCTCCTTGTCACCACAGGCTGCATGTATGTGAGGGAAACTGCCCAAGCAAGGCACTTTTTGTTCATGTCTTCCAGCGATGACAAATATCTTCCATTAGAGATGGCTGTGGGACATCTGCCACTGACTGCAGTAAACATAAGACCAGATTCTTTTTTTTTCCTTTGGCATGAAGACAAGACCACCAAGCACAAAGTCTGGGTCAGCTGGAACACTTGTTACCACCTTGAAATGCGTTGGTTTGATTCTGACCTTTGAAAAGTGGTCCAAGTTGTCTAACACTGCAATGTTTCACCTTTCAAAAATCTAAACCACTCTTTTTTATAAAAATGGGACGAGCAATTTGGATTTCCAAACTTTTCTCATGGTTGCTTTTAATGTTACAGAAATGTATAAGAGTGTTTTATTTAAGGAATTATCTTTTGTTTTGATAAATAAGCATTTTTTAGAAAAAAAATAGGCTTTTCAAAAAATTTCTGATCCCTTCTGATAAGTATCATCTTGCTCACTCACCATCCTCACCAATCTTATATTTCCTCACACAGGGTAATCACTTTCTTCTTCCTTCATGCCCTTTCTTGGTTAAACAGCCTCCTCCAGGCTCAACACTGGCTTCATCATCCTTCAGACCTCATCTTCCTCTATGCCACCCCAGTGGTGGCTTGAAAGGCAGCTGATACCTCTGCTGGATGTGTGGTCTGCACACTGCATTGCCTGGACCTTTTCATTCTCAGACTATACTCTCAGCCTGTTCAAGGATTTTTATTTTCCTGTTTTCTCGCCTGCCTTTCAAACTCTTACTACAATAAAAAAAGTCAGCGTGCTGGAAGGACCAGCATCCCCCACCTCGGCACCTGGGGGACCAAGCAAGGAGCTGGGTTGTTCTGCAGAATCTCTGTCTTGTTTTGACAATTGCATTCGGGAAGAAGAACTGAAGTTTTGTGTTTAAAAACAAACGAACAAGTGAAAAACCCAAACCAAACACTAAGTTTTTCTCACCTCTTCTTCTGAGCCCTGGCTCAGAAGAGCAGCTTTGCAGTGCCAGCTGTACTGCTGTCATGTTGTACTGGAAACTGCTGCGACTTCAAACAGCAGCAGCTGGAGATGGGATACCTCAGGCTGTGTGTTAGCTCTGAGATGTACAAGCCATCCTTCACTTTTTAATACCAGCACCTATCACACTGCTGCTACTTTATAAAAAACAAGCTACTCTTGAGTTTAATGCTTGGTATAACTTGAACCTGATGTCTTCCAAAAGCAAGAGAAGTTGTCTGTGGTCCCTGATCATCCCTGGTGTGCAGCTGACAGACCAGAGGTGGAAGGTCCTTCTGCAGGGGTCTGTGCTGCTGAGCTCTTGCACCAGGACCCTGTAGCAGAGGAGCCTGGGCACTGTGTGGAGCTGTGCTGGTGGGCTGAGGAACAGGCTCTGATTTCTCCAGGAAATCTACTGGGCTGGTAGAAAAGATGACATGAACTGGTGTAGAAAGGAGGTATAACACATCCCAGTCAATATCATGTAAGTCCCCACCAAATTTTGCCCTGTAAGGATCAGATAGCACAGTCCAGAAATCTCTGTAAAGCTGGAGATGCAGAGCTTGGGTGAAGGAAGAAACCCCAGGAACACATATCCTGCTGACTTACTCAGGACTAGCAAAATAAACAGGGCAAAAATCAAAACTTCAGGGGCTCTTTTGTGCAGCGGAGACCTTGTCCAGACAAGCAGAGCTCATTCATTTCTGTGCAGAACTCTGCAGCAATGAATTTATTCGCAAGCTCTGGTTGTAAACATTTGTCTTTTTTTTACAGACAGTGCAGTCAGTGAAGTCCTCACCCCAGAAGGGATTCAAATACAGGTGATGTGAGGTGTAGTTGGTGAAGTCAGTGGGACTGGAGATGTGCTGAGCAGCTCCAGGCCTGGAGTTCTCCTCACAGCCATAGTGGAGCAGCAGTGAGCATCACTTCTAAGGGCTGGAGGTCAGATGTTGAGTCATCCTCCTTCCAAACCTCCCACGGGCCACCTCCCAAGCACCTTGCTTCAGGCTATTTTGGAACATGTGGAGTAAGAGTGAATAAAAACATCAGGAAAAGAGCCACACAGTTGTAAGCAGCTGAAATATCAGCTGGAAGTGGAAGAAGATAGTAATGGTGTCTAACAGCATAACCAGTCCTGATGATTTTACTCAGAATTTTAGCAATTATTTTTTCTTTTCATGCAAAGAAAGCACTTGGTATCCCCAGGGCTGATTGTGATGTCATTTCTTAGCTTTTACTTCGTCTCTACTCCAACAGCTTGCAGTGCTGCTGGGATGAGAGTCCTACCACAGTACAAGTGAGTCCATACTGAACACAGACTGAAGGTATGACCTGGGAAGTAGTGATTCTCTTGGTGTAACTCGGTTGCAAAGCACAAACATTACCATAATTTTAGACACCCCAGGGTATTCAAGGCATTCCTATGGGCTGGTGGATTTGGCACAGGAGACACATAGCCTCCAGAAGTGGTAGCTGAAGGCCACACAGAGGATGTGGGACATCTCAGAATCAGAGAATCATAGAATTACTTATGTTAGGAAAAAATTTAAGGTCATCGAGTCCAATTGGTAACCCAGCACTGCCAGGTCCACCACTTAAACCATGTCCCTAAGTGCTGCATCTACACATCTTTTAAAGATCTCCAGGGGTGGTGACTCCACCACTGCCCTGGGCAGCCTGATTCAGTGCTTGGCAACCCTTTAATGAAGAAGTTCTTCCTAGTATTCAATATAAACCTGCTCTGGCACAACTTGAAGCTGTTTCATCTCATTCTACAATAAGGCGCTTAGGCTCAAGTTTTGAACCGCACTCTCGAAGTCCACTAATATGTGAACCAAAGACATCCACCAGTGCTTAAGATGAGAAACACCAGTGTTTCAGGACTTTGCCCAACAAACATTGGAAGCAGACCCTGAAACAAGGAATGCTCAGTTTCCTCAGCATCATCACACCCACAGCTCATGGTCATGGGAAGGAGTGATCTCCTGGAAGATGCAGCCAGGTGAGGGAAGTTTGAATGCAAAATTATGAGGTTGATAGATCAAGTAGCCTGACACAGGAGCCAGTGAATGAGTCTTTCCCATCAGATCTGCAGTGGGACTTGGGGAAAGAACAGCTGCATTTGTCTGCCTGCTCCTTGGGCATGTTCCACCTGCTTAATTGAAGGCAGGTCCAAGTGAGCCATCTGTTGACCTGGTTGAGGAATCAGAGCTTCCCACTAATTTAAAGATATTTTTACAGGTTATTAAAAGCCTAGAAGAAAAGGAGAGATGGATAAAAAACAACAGCTTTGCCTTAGAGGCACAGGTAATATCTGTAACAGCTGCTACACCCTATGCCTAAGCTAATTGTTAAATGAGTCACCCTGGCAAAAGAAGCATTAATAAAGGGAAGCGAAGACTGAACATCTGGAAAATAATATGAAAGGGAAGAATTTTCATATTTTGGAACTCCTTGCTGGGTGGGAACTGCTTGGGGAGACAGCTCTAATTGCTTGTCTGAGAGAATGAAAAGTGAATCTATTCCCAGTCTGAAATCAGCACAGTCATTGTGTATTCCTCTCTGCTCTCCCATCCCAGTGCCACAACTGTTATGTGGGGCCCTGACCTGCAAATATCAAGACAAGCTCTTCATCTTCTGTTCCTCGACCTTTATGCTGGTCCATAAAGCCAGTGGCATGAACCAGCCTCCTCAGGACCTGGGTCCAAGCTCAGGAAAAGTTGCTTTGAGCAGCTAAGTGTAAGATGTGCTATCAAAACGACATTGTTCTGGTGGCACCTCCTCTGTCTTGGTGCTGCTGGGTAGTTACCAGGACTCATTTGATACACCCACTTTCTGCCTGTGGCTGTCGAGCTTTTTTGGCAATGGCCACAGGGTAGGAGAGGAGAACACCAGACCTGTTCCTTCTGTGCATTGCAACTCTTTGCTGGATAGAGGGAGCTAAAAACATGGTCAAGTTTCCCCTGCTACAGGAAAAGGACATCGCCAACCAACAGCAGAGTCCTCTGCGCAAGCCTGCAGGGGTGTCCCAGTTCCCTGTGGCAAGGAGCTCTGTGGAAAGGGTCCACACCACAGTCTGAGTCAGACCCTTTCCATGATTTGACACTGGAAACTGGACTGGATGAAACTCGGGGACATTCCTGGATCTCATTCAGCTTCCACAAGGAGAATCAAACCAGGATGCAGTGGATCCCTCCGATGACGAGATGCTGGGATTTTAACACATACCAGGAAAACAGGTTGTGCTGCAATACCTCTGCTCTAACTGTGATGACTGGACTTAGCTCTTCTGCTCACCAGTTCCTCGCAGAAGCAGATCATGATTTTTCCACCTTCCCTCCATTTGATCTTCTCACCCTTCTGCCATTCTGCACTCTTTCAGTCTCCTCTTTCCTGTCTTGGAGAAGGAGCTTCTTCACTAAACACCTCAAACAGTGCTGTATAGCCGGGAGACCTTCATCCAGTCTGGCACCTGTCAGCCCAGGGTTGGTTTCTCCACAGATGAGTCCTGGACAGTGACTTCCTAGGGCACGTGTCCAGGAGGACACAGTGGGTCTGCAACAGGCACTTGGAGAAGGCAGGGGAGAGAAGCAGCACTGAACAAGAGCTCTGCAGCAAGACAGGGTCACAGCTCTCTCGTTTCAGCAGGAGTGTAAAATATTAGCAGTCTGATCCACTTTTCTAAATAAAGCCTGAAAGCAACTCTACCATCTAAACTAACACTGCTCCCAGCCCAAGCTTGCAAGGCATCACCAGTGACACATCAAGCCCTTCCCAGATTTTAATTTCCACCTGTAAAAGTAATCAGAGAGTTTTTCAGTGTTTTACATTTGCATTCATGAAGGTAAAGGTGCCAACCTGAGCACAGGCAGTGCTGATATGGGGTACCCCACTCTAAGGGTCCTCAGCACCACCTGGTTTGCCCCAAACTTCACCCCTCTGGTGCCACCCAAGGGAGGACACTGGACACTTATTTCTAACCAGGTGAACACATAATATTTTGTAACTGGTCGTTCTGATCTACTTCTTCCTGATGTTCTTCTGAAATAACTGATGTGCATGGGAATCAATTCTGCAGGCAGGAAAACTGGAAGGGATGAACAGGAGATCTGACATGGGGACATGTCACCAGCCCACTCACAGCATGTGCCACGACACCGTGTCATGGCACTCAGAAGGGATGTCCAGCGATGTGGAGCAGAGGAGGGCTCAGAGAGGCCGTGGCATAGATGCCAGGGTCAGGAATGGAGAGGGAGGGCACCCTGGGTGCCCTTGGATGCAGGGAGTGGAATGCTGCTGAAGCATGGGCAGGGAAGAGGCTGCAGCAAAGGAGGGTTTGTGTGGGGGCCGGGGCCGGGCAGGCGCGTTCCCAAACATCCACGCAAGGATCCTAAAGCATAATTATGAAATTTTAAAAAACAACTTGACGTTATAATTATAACGGTTCCTGGAGGAGCCGCGTAATTGAATTCTAGGGTGTCTTGCTCTCATTGCAGGCGCTAACAAGAGAACGGCTCAGCTTCCCTCGCAGCCTTCCCGGAGCCCTGCAAAGCTCGGGAGACACCCAACAATTCAATTATTGTTTCCCTCCGGAAAGCAGATCATTTTAGACACGCGGCCAGCTCTAATTACAAAGGAGAGGGGGAAAATTTTCTTGTGTCCAAAAATTATTTGACTCATTAAAAGGATTTACTTTCCACCAGGCCTGAAGAGCTGAAGCTCTGGTGGAAGGATGGAAGGCAGGGAGGAGCGGCGCCTCTGGCAGGAAGGAGAGGGACCCCAGCCTTGCAGCGACGTCCCTCGGAGTCTGTACTCGAGTCTGTACTCGGGGCTGAGTCCCTCCAGGAACCCCTTCCCCAGGAAAAGCTGTTTTCTGCACAGAAGGCAAACTGGAGCTGCAGCCAAGGCTGGCTGGGTGGGCAGGTTTAACCTCAGACCACGAGGATTCGCTCAAGCAGTGCGTGAGGAGAGCTGCTCCCTCACAGGGGTTCGGCGGGAGCCAGGCCAGGGCTGGGACCGGGGCTGGAGGGACTTCTCTCCTCCCTGCTCCCCTCGGCAATAAAAACATGAGGTCTTTTGCTCAAAAGCTTCATTACAGTGGTGTGGGGCTTTTTTTTTCCTCAGATTATTTTTAAATGCTCTTTTGTGGAGAAAGACGATTTTACGTAGGGGAGGTCCCTTTTCCAATTACCATTAATTAACTCATCTCTAATAGATTTTTTTATAGCCCTCCATTTCCCGTGGCCGGGAGAAAGCAGCAGGCAGGAGGCTGAGCTGCTGCTCTGCCCCAGGATGGATCAGGCCACTCTGATCCCCCCAAGACAACACTTTAGAAGGGTTCACATGTTTTTTTCCATTTCTGTATATTTTTTCATAATTTTTAAAATAATTATAATAATGCCTTCATAGGCTTTACAGGGACACTGCTTCTGCTCAGTGTGGACAGCTTGGGCAAGGGGAAAGTATTGGTGGGCTCAAGGCTCCCGGACCATTCCTTGCCTTCATCCCCAGACCCACTCCTTCTCTCTTTTCCAGTGCAGCAAAATGAATTCCACTGAAATGTTTATGGTTAATTTGAAATCTAGCTCTTGTTAGATAATCCTGTTAGTAGCTTGTGAAAACAAGGGATCCATTGTATAATCAGTAATTATAACAGGCGTTTTATGTTAAATTATATCTAATAAGCAAGACGAAAAGGGAGATATGTTCTTGGATGGAGCTTTTCCCGTCCAAAAAAACAGGAGAAAAGTCTCCTCCGTGGTGAAATTATACATCTAGGGAGGAAATAAAAAAAAAAAAAAAAAAGAAAAAACCATTGGGATATCACGATGGAGTTGGGATGTCATAGCAGAGCATCGGGTAGCAGGAATCCGGGGTGATTTCTCTCCCCCATGGCAGGACCTGACCCAGCCGGGCACCGTCGAGGGCTGCTGAGCTTGGGGGTTGCAGGCGGTCCCGCGGGTTGGGTATTCCCGCATCCCCGCCCGGCTGCTGCCTCGAGGGCAAGGAGGAAGAGGAGGAGGAGGAGCAGGAGGAAGAGCGCGTGTAC